TATAAAATTATTTTAAAATAATTATATAGTAAAATTATTATAAAATTATTATAAAATTATTATAAAATTATTATAAGATATAACTTTAATAATTGTATTAATATCATTAAGATGATCTTAACTCTATTGAAAAAAAATAGCTAGTTTCTGTAAAGGTGGTTTTGTGGCTTTAAGTTGTTCCATATTTTTTTCAATCTTATATACTTTGTTTTTGACACCGATTTCTTTTTTTGTACATAAGCACCAAGGACAAAAGTAATTTATATTGGGTGCATTAAACCCCAAAACTATGCATAAGAACTTCTAATTGCTGCTAAAAAAGGTTCAATTTTCTACTTGATTCCAAAGTCATCTAACCTGTTATTGACTAAATTATGCAATTCGTTGATTATTGGTTTTATTATCATTTTAAAAAAATCATAATTTTCTGTTCTAGGACAAAAAATGATTATATGATGATAATTAGTATTGTAAATCATCTAAAACTGCACATGTAACTATTACATGTTTGATTTTTCTACCTACATTTAGGAATAGCAAAAAAACAGTTAAAACATTAATATAGCATCTAATAACTGGAATTGAAATTACTATATCTAATTGGCTTCAACAAAAAAAATATATATATATGAGTGCCGCCAAGTGAAAACTAAAAATTCTAAAAATAGACTTCTTTACATATCGGAATACGGGCTTTTAAATGACCTGACTAGAATAATAAATTATACTATTTTTTGATTATATATTAGTATAATTCAAAGTTTGTATTCTGTTGTCTAAAGAAATCTATTTTTATAATTCCTGGTTTTCACTTGGTGGCACTAATATATATATATATATTTGTTATTAATAACAAAAATTTTTTTTTTGGTTAAAGTTAGCATTGGAAATCATATGTTCACAGTCTTTATAGTGAACGTAAATTTTAAAAAGAATCAATTTTTTTATTTTAAGTTTACAACACTGCCATCCCTATGTATATATGTACATACCTACATTGTGTTTATTTCCTGATATACGGATATAATTACTAGATTATTTATATTTAAAACTTTTCAATTTAAAAGATCTGGAATCACAAAGCATAATATATCTGTGATCCTTCTATAGCCCGCATTACCAATATATCTTCTTCAATTTCTTGATTATTAATATCAGATGGCTCACTTGTTGTTACAAGAGAAATGTTTGTGATATTTAAAACAGAAACAGAAACTTTTTGATTCATTTTATCATTGATTTTTTTTCTAGAATCTAAGACTTCATAATTATGCAGTAGTTCATATTGAATGGTAGCTAAGTTTTAATATGCTTTTCGAGATATTGGGCCCTGGTTAACAACTTCTGTAATTGCTTCAATATGTTTGTTCTTTTCTTCTCTATTTTTATTATAAAAATCAGCCATATAATATTTGTTCTGAACATTAAATCTAAGCTCTTGTAGAATGGGTTGGTCTATTGAATTAAAGAATTTGGGAATTTTATTTTTAAATGCTTTACTAATTTGCTTTGAAAATGCGCAAGAATATTTTTCTTTCATGGATTTGCTCAACGTGTTAAATGGTTTAAAAGAATGAGATCAATTCTTTTTCTCACTTTCTTGTTCCATTTCTATTATGTTAAGTCCAAAAACATGCACTCCAAAAATTTTTGCTTTCATATCAGGATTTCTTTTCTTTGTAAAACAAATTTGAATTTTTTTTATCAATAAATTATAAAGATTAATTATTAAAAAGATTATACTAACTTGTGTATATTCATTGGCAACTTTAATCACAAATTCTTTTGACTCTACTACAAAATTTTGACCATTCTCTTCAAAACTAATTATAAAAATTGGTCCATCTGTTTCATATTTAACTTCACATTCTATTACATATAGTGACTTTCCTTGGCCCAGTCTCGTTTGTACTATATAATTATCAGGAATTTTGTATTTAGTACCATTATGAGAGTGAGCTGAGATATAACGTATTTTATTTTTTGATAGATAAAATCCTTCACTAATAATAGTATATGTATATGTAGTATTGTTCTATTTAAGTGTAAAAGTGTTATCATTAGGATATTTACTGCCGCTAAAAGGCATCTTAATTTAAAAAATAATAATAATGTTATTTGATTTATTATGTGATAATTTTATTCACAGAATATTTTATGATGGTAAAAGCTCTAATAACATTAATTTTACATTTGGTGTATTAATAACTCTGCCAAGATATCATTTCAATTTTTTTGAAAAGCGCCTCATATACCTAATATAGTAGTACCACTCTTTCTTACACCAAGGTACTGTTTCAATTATAAAATCATTCCATATTCTAAATATGGTATCATTCCTTCTTGCATAATATAACTTTATTTATTAATTTAGCTAGTTAACAACTTGTTACATGTAATACATAAAAAAAGGTTAATTATAAATTAACTATATATACAGTATATATATATATATATTTTTTGACGATTATGCAACATGCCCTGCTTTTATTGATCATATACAACAATTTAAAGGATTTTTATATTACATCTTATTACCTGAATGTGACTCACCTGGTTATTTATATAAAGTACTTAAGTACTCATGCACCTGTGTGCAACCTGCCAAAAATGATTTTAATCTCCCGGTTTGGTTTAATCTACATCAAGCTGACCTGCCCAGTTTACCAACCTGGTTTACCAGCCCATCATGATTGCCTTCTTTCCTGACTTTCTTCTTCTAGCCTCCTAGATAGAAGAATTCTACCGCAAGAACAACGGGGAATTTAAGAAAATAAAAGAAAATACAAAAAAGAGGAGAAATTTAAACTAAACAAAGCAAAAAACATACACAAAAGAAAAAATAAAGAAAAGGATAAAAAGGCCGCAAAGAAGACAACTATGATGACACTATTTTTGCCTGTACTAGGCTAAAGAAATTATATAATATTGTATAGAAAAAAAATCCAACCTAACACTATATGTATTAAAAGAAGTAGAAAAGAAAAGAAAAAATGTCTAACTATAAAAAATTTCTACATGTGATCCCTCCAATCCCCTATACTGTAAACAGTACTGCCATCATTGTTTATTTGGGAAAGCAGAATCCAAATAAGCTCATGGGAGGTTTCATTTTGGTAGACGTATCCTAATTTGGAAGAAGTAAACACTGCTAATCTTTTTGGAAGGGGTACGCCAGTTTTCCACTTTTTGGCCAAAATTTCTAAAAAAAATCCAAAACCACAGAAATATGGTAAAAGCTATCAGTAACAAGTACTTTTAAAATTTCTAAGAAGAGTGTTGGAAGTCCAAAACTTTTGTTGTTTCTTCTGTGTTCTTCTTTGAAGTAACAGCCCTAGTGCTTTGTTGATGAAGTAGAAGCCTACTTTGAGGCTTTCTCTCTTCACCAAGATTTTTATACAAGGGCACCACCTGCCAGTTATCTTGTATAATAACACACTTGGCTTGCATGCCGAATGTCCCTTTAGAGGAGTCCCCACAAATATTTGACCTCTAGACAAACTGCAACATAAGGCCATGTCTCTCCAACAAAGGTTGTGTTTTTCTGTTAGCTAAAATTTTGGTACAAGTGATCGTCAGGGAGAGTAATTATTGTATATACAGTATATTAAAAACAACTGTACTTATTATTTCTTAAGATTCTTGTTAAACAACCAAGATATTTACTTTATTAAAAGATAGACAAATAATAAGCTATACTAATTAATTATTTGTGGAGAGATTTTTATATGCTTTACAAACTTATGAACTAATATAGCTTTTTTTGAAATTCAAGAAAAAGAAAAAGACTGACTTATTTATGTTTAATCAAAGGCAATACCTTTAAAAAAAATTTTACCAAAAGATATTATTGTATATACATACTTTAATCATATGCCTGAATTTATAGCATCAGTATTTCCTGCAATGTCTTCACGTAATACCTATACTAGCTTTTTCATTATTTCATTAATGTTATAAATCACTTCAATTCAATAGTAGTAGACATGGTGTTTGTCGAATATCTATTAACTTTTATGTAAAAAAGTAAAGCAAGAAATTGCATATTAAGGTAAGTATAGTATTAAAAAACTATACCATGTTAAGTAGGAAATTTGGTTAGCTAAGATTATTTTGCAATATGTCAGTAGGATTCTTTTATTTCACATGGCAAAAATGTATGATAAAATCAAGGTTTGATTTAATTTTTTTATATTTAAGGAAGCCAATTTATTCACACACTACTTTGCAAGAATAAGTATATTAAACCAATACACATGCTCATTTGAGATAACTCATTTATTTACTTATTTATTTTATTTAATAGTGGAAATAGAAAGAAATTCAGTTCAATGGTTCTCTTTTAACTTGGCATTTTCATCTAAATCTAAAAGTGCATATTAAAAAAAGGTGTAATATTACAAGTAATGATATTAAGTATAGAAAAAGAGTGAATAGTGTTAATTCAGAGTTATATATTCTGGAAGATATGATTTATAACTGATTTAAGTTTTGTCATTCATATATTAAAAGAATTTGAGCAATTTATTTATTTATTTTAAAAAGCTAATAAGGAAAAAATAGTAAAATTGGAGTCGTAATCAAAAATAACATATATAAAGCAATCTTATATCTTCCAAAATCTGCTAAAATAGAATGTTTCATATCAGTACCTTTTATCAAGACAAAATTAGAATCAAAAAGAATATAAATAAAACATTTTCAAAAATCTAATGAGATGAGTTATACCCTCGGAATGAATGAATGTCATCAGGAAATTTTTAAATAAAATACATATTTATTAATAGCTGCAGAGTTAATTGGCATCAATTTATATCGATTATAATCGCTTGTAATCATTTAAATTTAAATGATTGCAATCGATTTATATCGATTACAATCGATTGTAATCATTTAAATTTAAATGATTGCAATTAATTATAATCAATATAAATCAGTGCTAATTAACCCTGCAGCTAGTAATCGATATGCATTTTATTTAAAAATTTCCTGATGGTGGTTAATTGTTGTTGCGAAAATAAAAAAAGAATAAGAATAAACAAGAATAAAGACATTTGATATTGGAACTAATATAGATAAAGTGCCTATTTATTCTATTTATTAAAAAAAATCTGTTCAAGACAATAGTTCATATTATATGCTTTAGGATGGTGCACAGTCATGCCTTTTCTTTTTTAATAAATTTAAGCTTTTTAAATAAATAAAAAAACTATTTACAATAAGAAAAATCTTAATTTTAAAAATTTTACTATTGACAAATGCATATGTATATTGGACATATATTAGAGCATATGCCTTAACAGCGTCTATATAACTAAAACACAAATACTTATTATATCCACCAATCAAATAATATTAATTTAGTACTAGTAAAAATGTTTTTATTAAGTTTGTCTAAATCAACAAGTTTGCTAACTCACCTTTTCCAATTTCAAATATTTCGAATGCTTTTTTCATTCTTAGTTGTGCTTATACCTTCATCATAACAGATCCAAAAATTATATTATCTAAAAGAATTTTCACTTTAGTTAGTTTTGAATACTACTCAAATGCTCCTTTTTTTCATTCTTAGTATTTTCTACACCATTTAAAGAGCTGAATTCATGTCAAAAATCTGAAATTCCACCTTCAGTTTCATTTTTCTTATCTTTGGCTAATACCTATGTCATTTTCAAAGCAGAATCTAAGATTTGCTTTGTTCTATATCTATAACATTAAGTCCAAATGCAAGTATCCAGAAAGTTTTTCTTGTGGATTAGCTTTGTTAATAAAATTATAAAAATTAATCATTCAAATTCATACTTTTTTTATTCTTGGTATGCCTATACCTTCATTGCCTACTTAGTAGAAATACCACTTTTAGTAGATTTCAAATATTCTTTTTTTTTCTTGAACATGTGCCAGGTTGGTGACATATTAATCAGCCACAATAATCTCTAATTACAGTATGTACAGAATGTTCGTGAAATTTCTTTTTTGAATAAAAACTTCTATCATGTATTTCATTAGACGTCCTGTAATTTGAATGTTTTCTATTTTTCTTTTGTGAATTGAAGATATAGCAGAAATATGAACAGTTGACTCTCTCTATACAGAACTATTGTAATTTTTAGTTCATTATAACTGTACTTAATATTTAAGTAGAGTATATTATATTAACTTCAGAAGGTAGCACTATGACTTTTAGCAGATTTTAGATACCATTCAAGTACCTTTTCATCTTTGGTATATCTATACTTTGTAGCAGATATCAAGAATTATTCTTTCAGTAGGGTTAACACCTCTCAGCAAACTTCAAATATAGCTTAAATGCCTTCTTTACTTTTGGCTATATAGGAACTTGGTGTATCTAAAGCTTGGATATAATAATGAATAAATTGATTGTTGTTAACATGGCCTATATCATATCTTGCTAGTCATTTCTAAAGTTGAGCAAGTAAAGTTCATACGTATATATGTACAAAATTTGTATCTTTAATTCAAATTATTGTAATATCAATCGAACTGAACTATGTATTACACATTGAATTTGATTGGATCTCATGTACATCAATTGACTGATTTATCTATAATTCATGTAACATAAATTTTAGGGTACATTAAAATAAATAAACAATTCTGTAAATCAACCCATATGTGCAAATAATATAAAGCAGCTTTAATTAATGTATTAGTATATTCTTGTAGTGAATTAATTGATGTAGATTGGTAAGAATCTGGAAGTAGTTATTTAAGATTAGGGGGCATCCATAAATAACGTTATGCTTGAGAGGGGATAGGGTCTCCCAAAATATAATGATTTTCCAATATTTAGGGGGTCCCCCAAAATATAACACAATTATTTGTCTAAAATTTGATCCAGTGGCCCAAATTGGATAATTTGGTACCATTCAAATCATCTCGAGAAGAGGAGTTGAATGGTACCAAAATCATTTGATTTTGATCACTGGAACATGTTTACCAGAAACAGAGTACAAAGTACGAAGTGTATGGTTTATAGACAAGTTAAGTGGTGTGGCTATTTTGATTCTGATTGGACAACCTGTTCACATGATCATATCTCTATTTGTATGCCTCTGCCCTATATCA